AATTAGGATGAGGCTGATTTTGAGCAAAGATGTGAGGAAAGTAAGGGTGTGGGTCATGCGGATATTGGTCAGAAATGCTGTTCTAGAGAGGACAGCAAAAGCAAAGGCCCTTCTGCGGGAGGAGTTCCCTGCATTCTAGGAAAAGCAAAGATGCCAGCTGCTTGGAATGGACCAAGACGGGAAAGACGGGAAACAGACCATATCATGAGAAGCCTTGAAGGCCACAGTCTGGACTAAGATGATAAAGCAATAAAAAGTTTTGAGTGGAGGGGTGATGTGGTCTGAGTTACATTTTTAAAGAATATAATCTTGGCCTCTACATGGAGAACAAGTCATAAAAAAGCAAGAGCAGAAGTAGGGAGACTATTCAGGGAGCTACTCACACAATCCTGGTGAGAGCTGCTAGAAGGAGGGGTGGGTATGTGAGAAGTGACCAGATTGTGTATGTGTGTCAAAGATGTTCTGCAGGATGTGCTATGAAGCGGGTCTATAAGGTCTGAGAGAAAGGCAGAATTTGAGAATGGGTAAAACTATTGGAAAATTTAGAGAAGGGAAAAAAATCAGATGAGTTTAACAGTAACTGTTAACTTTTTTTTTTTTTTTTATCCTCACTGGAGGACATTTTTCCATATTTTCTTCAGATAGAGCAGGAGGGAGAGAGAGGAAGAGAGAGAGAGAGAAACATCGATGTGAAGGGACACATCGAGTGGCTGCCACCTGCACAACCAACCAGGGTCGGGGACAAACTGCAACCGAGGTACGTGCCCTTAGCGGGAACCAAACCCGGGTTTCTCTCTACCGCAGGCCGATGCTCCAACCGCTGAGCCAAACCGGCCAGGGCGTGTAACTGTTAACTTTTATTGAGTGTTTACTGTGTATCAAGAATCATGCTAAGTTCTTTATCTGTATTACATCATTGAATCCTCCTGACAACCCCAATTTATAATGAAGAAACTGAAACTAAAGAGGGTAAGCACCTTGCCAAACATGGAGCAAATGTTGGGCAGGGGACTGGGCCCTGAGCAGTCTGGCTGCAGAACACATACCCTTAATCTTCCTTGTGAAACAACCTCCACTGTCTCTGAGAAGTGAGAGGGTGTCCAGAGCTGGAGAAAGAGAGGATAGGGAGGCAGGGCCCAGACTGGAGCTCAGAAAAAATGTTGACTGATTGAAAAATATGCATCAAAGATTAGATAAACAATAGGAGAACTATGGTCAATGCTTGCTTTAAGGTAGTCATTGGTATGGGCTGGGGCTCATCTTTCTGTGGCTGCTTGTGGCATGTCTGTCACTCTACATGAAGAAAGTGACTGAGTTGCAATCTTTCTCAGTCTCTTTAAAAGTGATGTCAATCACTGAAGGTTCCCCATCACTGAGGGGTCCCCTCAGTGGCCACAACTTGTAAGGGACTGATTCTGGGCTCCCAGTCCTATAGATTAACGTCCCCTTAATCTTGTTTAGCATAAATACAGACACTGAAATTGAGTAAACTGGCGAGATGGAAGTTGAGTCATGACATATTTATTAAGCTGAGCACTGGCTTTGACACTCAGAGGAACACCAAATTGATTCAAGACACATTTCTAGCCCTTAAGGGGCTTACAGCATTTGTTTGGCTGGTGGACCACCCAACATCCATTAGGATGGAGAAACCAAACCTTCACTTTGGGCTCATTGTGCTGCAAAGAGCAATAGGCCAGGAGATTAAACGGGCTTCAGTGCATGTGGAATGCACGCGGCCGGCCTGCAGCCTCCGCCTGAGTGCGTTAACTCCAGGAGCAGCCTGGCTGCAGAGGGAAGGTGGCTGCTTGTGCATAAACACTGTCATTTCACTGGGACTTCTATTTCATCTTTGAACCTTGGCTTCAAAGGAATACTGACCTTATTCCTGTAACTTGCCTTTCTTTGAAGCGCATGGCTTTGCATTGCAGATTAAAGTGAAGACATTCATCAAGGAAGAGATCTGGCCAACCCCAAACTCCACCCGAAACAGAACCTTGAACGCCTCCAATCATAGCAGTAGTGGAGTGTGCCGAGGATGAAGGCTTGGAGCCTGGCCCTTTTCTCAGATCCGGCATGACATAGTGCTTCCCTTTGAGCACTGGGCAAGTTTACCCTGAGAGTCTGTCTAGCAGAAAGGGGTGAGTTAATGCAATATTCCCAACCTGTCCTGCTCATTTTATTTAAAGCAGGCATTGTCATAAATGAGCCTAGCATAATCATTCGATGTATGCCTTTGAATTTTTCAAACGATGTGGCAGGCAGAACCACCTGAAACTTGGCTGATGATTGTGTCATTTTCTTTCCTGTTGCTTTCCTTTGTTCATTCCTTTGAAAAGAAACTGTCCTCTCCTTCTCCCTGGTTCTCCTATATTGGCTCTAAGAAAATAGGCTGTCCACATAGTCTTCTCTATATTTACTTATCTCTTTTCTCTCTTGTGAGAGAAGTGAGGTGAGAAAATTTAACTGGGAGGTTAAAAATAAAAACCAAATCATTCTTTAATTTTAAGGCTAAGAGAGAAAACCAGGGAAGTATCTCTCACCTCAGAGGAATAGAAATTGATGATAGACAACAATCAAAGGAAAAATTGTTATATCTTGAATGCATCTTTTCTGCAGATTTTCAACTGGAATCAGATACACAGAATGCGTTCTGTCTGGGGTGAAGTGGTAAAGCAATCCAGAGGAAAGAAGAAAATGATTGTCAAGCTGGGTACATGCAAATCATTTGATTCTGACAATATATACATGAAAGGGCTTAAGAAATATGCTAATATTCAGAATAACTTTTTTTTCTAGTTAAGCATCTCTAAAATAAGACCAAAGAATAATTCTGTTCATTTTAAAACAATTCATTTAACTTGGTCTTTAGCTTAAATTTCAAATACTTGTTTCCCATCAAGAAATGTGTGAAGTTCATCATTAAATGGCGTCATGAAAAGCCAGCAATATTGGCCAGTTTTTTACACAAGGTGACGCTCATGTGGGAATGAAAATAGCTTTGTTTCTAGCTTCACTATTAAAAGGTTGCAAGGTAGCTGCTTAATCCTTATCATATCCATATCCCTTAATTTACTACGCTCCCCAAATTTGGGTGTCGCCATGTGACTAGTTTTGGCCAATGGACTGTAACCAAGGTGATAAGTATCTTTTCCAGGGTGATGCTCTCTGTCTCTCTACCATGTGACCATGGAGACCTTGTGCTCAGACGACCAAGCCTCAAGCTAGCAGCAGCATCTGTCACTGCCCCCATGGAGGCAAACTGTGCAGAGAGTTGTCTGATTTGGCAAACAAGAAATAAACCTTGGTTTTGTTAAGCCATTAAGAATTTAAAGGTGATAAACAAATAATTTTATATTGGAATAACTTAATTCTTCCTGACTAATTCAGGACCTTGGAGTGCATGTAGTCTTACCTCACTTCCATCATAAGAATCTTTTTTATAGAAGCCTTGGGACATGGTCCAAATACTTTCTTGAACTCCTCAGGAATAACAGCAAATAACATACCAAGCAATCATATAATGCTTACTCTGTAATTTTTTTCATATATAATTTAAAGTATGTTACGTCTCAAAAAAAAAACCAAACTTAACTCATCAATAATATTTCCCTTATTTCATAGGTGGAGGAACTGAAGCACAGAGAAGTAACTTGCTTGGGATTAAATAGATAAATTAATTCACTTGCCTCAGGCCACACAGCCAATACATAATATGCTAGGTGTCAAAGCCAAAGAACTGCTTCCAGTCTATGCCTGTAACCATGCAACTTCACTAGATTGAACTTTCATTTCCTTTTCTCACAGACTGCTCAGTAAAACACAAAATCCTAAACCCAAAAGACAAGGATGGAAGAGACCTTAAAGGTCAACCAGTAACTGCATTTTACATGGAGGAGGAACAAAATCACCAAGAGCCATTTTTCTGCTTTTGTGAAAAAGGTCTATGTTGGGGTTTTTCAAACTAGTGACCTGGAGATCACTAGGGTTCAGTAGAAAGGTCTTGGGGACCATCAGTTTGGAGATTATAACAGACCAACCTTGTTCTAATCTATTTTATATAGTAGACTTCTGGGTAAAATTTGTATGTGGCTATTCTGCTGCTTTGATAAAATTGAAAGATGATGGATCTCTCCAGACTTCCACTGAAGTAGTAGGCTTGTAAAATTGAACTATATAATAGGACTTCATATCAGCTGGAGGGGTGGTGGGATTGCTTGGCCCAGTGGGCATTTCTGGGCCAGAAGAATTGGCTATTCCATAAGTGCACTCACTAGATTGCCTGGCAGCAAGAACTGCCTTATTACCCACTGTTATCTTCACTTTGATATGCAGTAGAAGCTCTATAACCTATATCTGAGAGGAGATAGAAGGAGATCGCAAGAGGGTTTGATAAGCAATATTTCAAAAAGAATAATAAGCTCATCTGGGTTGAGAAAAGTAGCACAGTTTGGCTGTGGTGACCCAGTGTCAAAGAAATGGCTGGAAAGTTATCATCATGTGTTGTTTTGTCCATATATTCTCAAATGTCCAATGGTGGGCTTCCTTTCCCATGAAAGAAAGAAAGGGAGAGAGAGAGAGAAAAAAAGAGAGATAAAGATGGATGGAACAACTGAAGAAAAAGAATATTAAATTGACTTACAGCCCTGAGAAAGCAGAGGCAAATATACACCATTGTTTGCTTCATTTTAACACAACTAATTACACAAAATTATTCAAGTTTACTGATCACATTAAGAAGTAAATTAGAAGGTTTTCTTTGCTTTAAAAGAAGCATTATTATTATTATTGTTGTTGTTGTTATTTTGCTGACAGCATTTCTAGTACATTTATATACCATGTGTATCAGGTGCTACTTACAGACACTTGGCTTGATTTGCAAATTGGTTTCCACTACATCAAAGTACATTTCAGAAGAGGAAGATAGATGGGGCAAAAGGACACAAGGAAAGTCTAGGAACAGGTGTCATGACAACTGTGCTTACTGCAGGCCCTCTTACCTTGTGTGGTCCCATCCAGTCCCATGATGAATTTCATTGATCTGATGATTTGCTCTGCTATCGGGGGACTCATGGATGTAGCATAAACAGCACTATGGGAGTGAACCCGTAAGTAATCCACAAGGTCCTTTAATAAAGGAGGGAAATCCAAAAAGAAGACAAGTGTTGGTGGTGAAAATCATATCTTGTGCCAACCCCATTCATCATAGCATAAGACATTTGATTCTTGAATGTGGTCCAATTTTTAATGGGCATTACCAAACTTTTTTTCTATCCCTCTTAATTTTTCCCTCAAAAACTTAGAAAGTATACAATAAGGGCTGAAAATTTAGAATTGAGGTCTGAAAGGCCAAAGCAGATGTGTAAAAGAAAAAATGATTTCCCAACATTTGTTGAGTACTTAGTATTTATCAGCACTGACTTAGTATTCAGGAATGTCCAAAGAATACAGGGTATGATCTTGCCACTGAGCATATTACGTTTAATTGTGCGTATGGAAAAGTAATGATAGAAAAAGTAACAAGATATACAAACTAGTATATGCAACAGAGCTACAGACTGCAGAGGATAGAGAGGGGGTATTTATTGCTAGTCAGAGTAGGCAGGGGAGGTTCCAGAGACAAAGTGAAATTGATTAAGTCTTGAAGAATAGAGATAAAGAATAAAGATAGAGCAAAAGATACTTGGGTGGGGGAATGAAATAGCAAAAGGGAGAGGTAGGTAATTAAACCAGAGTGTAGGTTAAAACCAGATAAACTCTAGTTATGCCTTACAATTTTTATGCAACACTATTTGGAGTGCTGACCCACTACAGAATGAGTCGTCAGTGGGAGGGATGATTCTCCACCTGCATGCCTGACTCCTGAGGTCAAATATAAGGTCCCAGATAAGCTTGCTAAGAGTGTGAAGATGCTCCAATGACCTAATGTCACAGTCAGGAGGGCCTTAGAGCTAGCATCTGGAGGCGCTCACCTCCAGCTGGGAAGACCATCTCTCTGCTGCTCACCTGTGCTGGCTCATTGCCTGGGACCTTCAGGGTAATCTTCAGAAAAGCCAATGGGCTAATGACGGCTCACTGTATTATCAGTGGGGTCTGTAGAGGAAGTATTCTCCAATTTTTCCAGGTGAACTGGGGGAAGCTCTGCCTTAGGCAGGCCCTTCTCTTCCTAACCTTCCCTTTATTGGCCACATCCATTTCCACCTCTGATCCTGAGACTCTGCCCCATCTTTCACTTTTTGATCTCTCCTGGAGTCTGGGTGGCATGATTGTTCACCAGCATTTTAAACAATCATTGCTCATCTTCTTCAGTAAAGTGAGCGACCTGCCTCACAGCAGGCTGGTGACGTGATGCCTCTAAGTGGCCCATGTATGTGTGTGTAGGGGGAGGGAGGAACCAGTAGTTCTTTCTGTCCTTCCTGCCTCCTTCAATATGTTCTTCATTCTAAATCCTATCTTCAGTGCATTCTTCTTCCCTGAAGTTCTTTCTCCCTCTGGTCCTTCATTCCACACTCTTTTTCTTTTCACTTTTTGTTTTTCTCCTTTCCTTCCTCCTTTCTACTCTGATTCCCTCCCTCTTTCTTTTAATTTCAAATCCCCATTTAATTTTTTCTCCCCATTTCTGTTTTCTCCCTCTTTCCTTTTAAAATTTTATTTGTCTCTTTTCTCTCCCTATTCCTTCTCCTCACCTTCTTGCTCTGGGCTATGTTCTGGATGTGGAGTCCAAGAAGAGAAGTCCAATAATAGAAAAACTAGTCTATTATTTACTTCTCTTAAAATTAAAATCCAATTTCTGTCTGTTCTTTTGTTTAGTGAATCTTGTACAACCAGCTGGGTGGGTTTTCACCATATTTGAAGAGTATGTGCATGTTGATGGCCTGATCTAAGGCACTGGCCACATGACATTTGTGAAGTTCACTTTGGAGGATGGTGGGGGTGGGGACGGGGCTCAAAGAGAGAGATGCAGCCATTTTCCAGAGTAGCTACAGCTGAGCTCTCCTTCACAGCTCTATGTTCAGTGCTCCTCTCTGAGCAGCAGTAGGGGTTTTCTTTCTCTATTGAGAGCCGGTGCTTCCCAGCAGGATGCTGAGAAAGCCATCTAAGAGACATGGGAAAGTACAGGAGACAGGATGACGGGGGTTGCTATGAACCTGAGTAAGGAAGGACCTGTTTCAGGGAGCTGGTCAGCCTTGAAGGATGGGTAGATTTGGATAAATGCAGAAGAGGAGAAAGGCATAGACATGTGCTAAAAGTAGTAATAAATATGGCATTTTAATTAGAAACAATGGAAGAGTCAACTTGGAGTAGATAGAGAAGTTAGTGCTTCCAATGAAGCTGATGAGGGGTTGTCTCCTTGAGGGGAGATATGACCTTGGAGTTACAGCACAGGATCTGGAAAATGATTGCTTGGGATCAAACCCTAGCTCTGCCACTTACTGATGTTTGACCATGGGCAAATTACTAAACCTCCTTGTGCCTTAGTTTTCTTCTCTGAAAAAATGAGATAATGGTTATATTTACCTCAGCTTCATTATGAGGATTAAACAAGTTAATACACATATGCTACTTAGAATAGTATCGGGTACATTGTGAATACCTGATGGTGTTGGCAATTATTCGTGGATTGCCAATCCAGACATTCTTAGAACTGGGAGCATGAGGTGGAGAGAGGGGACCAAACTATGAGAACTCCTTGGAGTCCTTTCATTCCAGCCCTCTCATTCTCCAGACGGCAATGTTCTAAGGCTATGTAACAGCACACTGGATCCAGACCAAAGACTTCCAGCTCAGCACTCCCTCCATTACTGGACTGGAGTGAAAAGAAAGGAACCAAGAAGCCTTAAGAAAGGAGTATCCAGACCTAATGACAGACTGCATGGCTCTGAAAAGATGACATAAAGGACACAGTCACTGATAAATCCGTAGCTGAAACTCAATGGCTGCCTGAGGCTCTATTTTAAGAACTTTACATGTGTTAACTCATTTTAACTTCACAATAACTCTGTAACATAGGTGCTATTTTTATCTCCACTTTATGGATGGGATTGCTGAATCACAGAAAGGCTCAGAGAATTATCCAACCAAATAGTGGTTGAATAACAAGGATCTGGGCCCAAAGAGTCTGGTTCTAGAGTCCCTATTCTTTTTTCTTTTTTTTTAATATGTCTTTATTGATTTTTTAGACAGAGAGGAAGGGAGAGAGAGAGAGAAACATCAATGTGAGAGAGAGAAACATCGATCTTCTGCCTCCTGCATGCCCCCTACTGGGGACGAGCCTCAAACCCAGGCATGTACCCTGACTGGGAATCTAACCAGGACCTCTCAGTCCATAGGACAATGCTCAATCCACTGGCTGGGCTAGAGTCCCCACTCTTAACCTCACACTATTACCTCTCCATACCAGAAGAGGGGGAACCAGGAGTGCACAAAGACCACCTTCACTTCTATTTTTCTCTAATCCACAAAGATCGTTTCTGTCTTTTAGGGGAAGATGGGAGAATTCCTAATATGCTCAAGTGTTTATAGTGCTAAACAGTAGATTGAGTTGCATCAGTATAGAATGTTTCATGTCTATTAATCTTATTTTTCCAAAGAGACTGAAATCTCCTTAAGAGCAGGGAACAGAGTTAAATGCTTCTCAAAATCCATATAGGTGGGTACCTAGCAGAGGTCTGGTAAATACTGATGGTCTAATGGAGAGCAGGGGCATTTGAAGGACTGAGAAAGGATGGCTAGGATTCCAGAAGTGCATAGGGGAAGACCAAGCTGCATTCTTGGTGGGGGGGCGAATGTAGCAACACTCTCCTAGCCTTGGGGCATTGCTAAAAAAATGATCAGAAAAATAAACAAAACAAAGCTGCCTTTTAATCCTACAAGGCTCTTCTCAATGTCCCCAACCCCCAATTTTCCTTCAGAAACCGAGAAATTTTGTAAATCCATGGTCACGTGTATTCTCATTGCTAATAAATGCTTCGTCAGTGCAATATCACTTCCTTTTAACATCAAGACTATCTTACCCATAATCTTATTTCTTCTAGGCTGAATCCACTTTCAATCAGAGTCTGAGTGTATGGATGGGGGCTAATTTGCTTATGAGGTTTAGAAAGTGGGGTCCTTTGAGTAACTTCTGCAGAACATCAAGGAAAGCCTTGTTTTCTGTTTTTTTTTTTTTTTTTTTATTCCCTTCTAACATTCCCTCATTGGGTGCCATGAGCCATGAATTAAGAGTTGGCTTTGGTCTTTCGCAAGGCGAGTCTGGGTTGTGTCTTCCTTCAGGGTGGGTTAGAGGTCTTCTCAGACCGAAGTTTCCATGTCCATTTGTACGTTCAAAACCCTGATTATTTTCTCTACCCATAGGCCTGGAGATCAAGGACAAGGGTGGCTTTTCTGAGAAAATCAGACAGGAGACTCTTAGAGTAAACATCTTGGCGTTCATTCCATGACCCCCATTTACTTCAAAGGGCTGTTAAATACAGCCAGGGCTGAGTACGCGGGCAGAGCTGGCTTCTGCAAGGAGCCTGCCTTCATCTGCCACACAGGCTTCTGGGGTAATGCTCACTCCAAACTTGGCTGCTCTGTCCCGCTTCCCTCCTCCATAATTCCTCCCTTGCAACCTATCAATCATGACGGCTACCTTTGCTTCATTCATTTGCAAGTCTCTGGTCAGCCTGTGGAGGCTGTGGAAGACAGTGGTTAGCAGCAGGCATGCAAGAAAACTCAGGCTCATGCCTGAGAAAAACAAGAACCCCCAAAACTGGGCTTGCAGTTTCAATCCATCTCCTCAGCAACTGGATCAATAAAAATAAAAAAATAAAAATAAGAAACCTAGCCTCATCCTCTCAGGCGTTCTTTAAATATGTCATTCATGGCATGGAGCTTGAACAGGTGAAGAGAATTACCTGACAATTTACCTCAAAAGTCTTAAAAGGACAGAATCCTCCAAGTTGAGTGGTGCACAGATCATCTATAGCAGCTCCAAACTCAAAGTGAGCAAAATCTTGCCGACCTTTGAGAGACTTTTTGGCAGTTTCTCTGAGGTGGGAAGAGAAGGTTGAGGTCAGGGCAGTGAACCCCCATGAGCAGAGATGAATTTGTAGGATACTTTGTGACAGAATGGTAGTATCTTAGCACCAAACCATTTTTTTTCTCCCTTTGTTTGTTTCCAAATATTTTTTCATACATGATGGTGGTGCATCTGGGTGCTAAGGTGCATAGTTCACCTTGAACAACTCCACGGAGATTTCTAGAGCCTCCTAGTAACTGTTAGTGGAAATATGTGTATCTCTTGATGACTAACCCTAACACTGACACTTAAAAAGAAAGGTAGGAGCAAGTCATCCTTTTCTGGATTTTTGGACCCAAGCAATTATTTCCAAATCACAAGATTTACTAAGAACCCTATGAGCATAGTGAAATTGAAATTATTTGGGTTTTAGAAAAATGTGAAGTCCTTGTATGTGTATGTTAACATTTTTGTTAATTTTGTTGCTTTTGTTCCCATTGGTTTAGAATCCTGGATATTTTGTAGTACCCATCAAAATGAAACATATACTGAAAAGTGTCCAGGAAAATTTATATGATGAAACTCTGAACACTTTACTCTAATTATCTAAGTAGATCAATAGCAGGATTTTTTCCCCCCAAGCAAAAGCATTACTTACTGCCCAACCCTATGTCCTGTCAGTTACAAAGCTTAGTTTAAAACAAACATCAAGTGAAAATTCTTCACAAAGTTATTAAAATTCCAAGGGAATAAAAACTTGATCTAAATTGAAACTATACCTAACTTAAAATTAACATAATTTTTAAAAAATGAAAGTACAGAAAAACAGATACAAAAGTTTCATTAACTCAGGCTTATTTGTCTGGAAGGAAACCACAGTTTATCTGGGTTTATCACAGTCTCACCAAAACTGTTCCAGACAGGTGTGTATCTGACTGATTTTTAAATCATCAGGAATGACACATACAGACACCTTCTCCAGGTCTTGAAAACTGCTCTATGTTTTCTAGATTTTACATCTTGCTGTTTCAAGGCAGAAGGTTTCTGAATAGACTAGTGGATCTCCGCCAAACACTCCCTAATTTCTGCTGCCATCTAGTGGAAAATTCAGAACCTGCAGGGCAGGCTGAGGGAGATGAAGAAAGAGGTAGAGGAGGTGGGAGAGTTGGAGGAAGAGGAATGATGTAGGCCTTTGGATCCAAGTATGCACGGAATGAGTATTTTAAAGAACAAGAAAATGAATAGATCTGCATACATTTTCTGCATCCTGATTAATGCTAATAATAGTAATTTTCACAATTGCTCAGTATGTACTCCGAATGAACAGAAATTACATAGACAAGGACAAATACACCTTTACACTAGTTTACTGACTTCAGGATTGAGAGTGTGAGAGAAAACTGTGAGCGGATCCTTATTTTAGGGTAATCCAGACCTTTGTCTAAGGGACAAAGGCTCAAATGAAGGAACTCTAAGGGGGGGGGGATTTGACAGCTACCAAATTTGACAATATTTCAAGAAACCGCTTGCTTCAGTTTATTCAGGTGCCTTTGGTTCAGGAAAAAGAGTTACGCTTGGTTAAAATTTTTGTTGCTCCGAACTGCTGCTAAAGTAATCACAAAACCACAAGCTCACAAAACACTGTAGCCTGGAGAAGGGAGCTCCTGCCTCTGAGACCCTCTGATCCCACTGCCTCGGCAGTTGAGGAAGGGAACATTTAACCTTTCACCAGATTTAGCTGAATTTGGTAGGCTCCTGGGCATTCCCTAGGTTTTCAGCATTACCCAGCTGATTCCCACAGGATGAAAAACAATGCTTTGAGCTTGGGGAAAAAGTAGTGCTTATTGAAGGGTAAAGACCACTGAAAACTCTAACATTTGAGGCATTTGTGCAACTTTTGGCAGACAAGTGGCCACAACGAAATGTGTTGTTTTAAATCACAGGCTTTCAATGACCATATTGTTTTCAGCTGATCTCCCTGGTTTGTCTAACTGGTTTACCAGGAGTCTGAACTCTTGTTCCTGTTGGTCACAATGAGTAAGGAACCAGGAATTTTAGGGAAGCTGTTTCTGCCACCTGTACACACTGGTTTTGGGCTGCTGTGCCCTCCTAGGCAGAGCCAACACCCTTGTCATGCAAACTCTTGGGGATAAGTATAGGCCTGTATGAGATAGCTATCAGGATATGAATAAAACTGTCATGTAATGAAGCATGCAACAGTCTCCTTATCCTTTAAATGTAGGTTTGAATGTTTTCTTTTCTTTCTCTGCTTCCCTCTTCTTTTAAATTTCTTTCAAACATTTATCGGTTTATGTTGGCAACCCCTGTGGTGATACTGGCACTAGAGTGACCAGAGCAACACTCACTTAAGTCTAATCTCATCAGATCAGAATTTTTAAGGCATGTAGATAATGATGGATGACAAGATTTGATCCATGACTTATCCAAAGTTGTGAGAGATCACTCTTTTGCAGAGAAAAATTACTTAAATGGATGTTTCTAATCTTGCTTCTACTATTTTGATTACACTGCTAAAAGCCCACATTGCAGCCCAGGGTTCTCCTCCTTTAGTATCTGAATTTTGCCCACTGTTGCTTTGTATTTTCATGCCCTGAAGACCACACAACTTGCGATTTTGTAGCAGCCCCTTATCATTTCTGTGGTTTGGTACACATCATTTGTCCAAAAAGCTGACAATCGTCCTAAGACTACTTCCATGCTGCCCTGTTGAGTTAATCATCCCTCTCCTTTGCACTGTCTTGGCCTGTGTCATTGCTAGTGTTGCCATTTTATTCCAGTATGATTGCTCACCACATGTTCCTCTGCACTCTCAGGGGGTGAACTCCTTGACATTCTGAGTGCTCCTCAGCTGTAAACCCCTGTCATGGGGCTGCAGTGAGAACTAAGGTGTGGCGAACCGAACTGAAGCTCTCATGGAACCCAGAGAAGCCCTTCAGACTTCATCCCCAGATCATTCAAGGGTTAAATAGACACGAGGAGTCCTTCTCTTACCTTCTTTCCAGCTATGTAACCTCCTGAGGCTCCAAAGCTTTTGGTGAATGTGCCCATAAGCACATCGACATCTTGAGGGTCCATTCCAAAGAATTCCACTACACCCCGGCCAGTTGGGCCCACAGACCCAATACTGTGAGCTTCATCCATGTAGAGGTAAGCCTTGTATTTCTTCTTCAGAGCCACGATCTGGGGCAGATTCACAATGGAACCTTCCATGCTAGGGCATAAAGGGAAGTGCTCATCACTGGTGTGTACCCTCGCGGAAAACTGCACCGGTCTCCCTCTCCGTATTTCTCAGACAGCCTGGCCTAATGCCAGGCAGGGATGACAGGGACTTGCCACTCCTCTCTTCTTAAAGGATATTTTATTTGGATATTATATTCTCAATCTTATAAAGCTAATCTGGCAGTATTTTATATAAAAAATAATTTACATTCAGTGGGTTTAAGTGCTTTGAGTGGTTATAGCTAATTCCCAAGTAAACACTCAGCTCACAGCATGGCTGATAAATTTATTTGTAAAGACAACTAGTTTAATTAGATGGATCATTATGGATTTTGGGTATTTTTCTACTTTTAATTACATTGCTCCACATGATCTATCTTATCAGCCTGCCCCGGTTTGTTTGGCCAGTTCTGACTGACCTAAACTCAGTGCTTGAACTGCCAATGATTGAAAGAAGGAATTAAAAACACACAAAGTAACTTTATTTAGGATGCATAGTACTAATTAAAGCACAATAGAAAGTTCTTAGGATCTCTTATTCAATACAGTCACCCCCACTTATTCTTGGGGGCTATGTTCCAAGACCCCCAGTGGATGCTTGAAACCGAGGATAATCTGAACCCTATATATGCTATGTGTTTTTCCTATACATACAGATCTATGATAAAGTTTAATTTATACTTTAGCACACTAATAGATTAACAATAATTATTAATAAAATAGAACAATTACAACAATATACTGTAATAAAAGTTATGTGCATATGGGCTCTCTCTCTGGTCTGATAACCGAGATGACTAAGTGACTGATAGTTGGAGGGAGTATCCAGCGTGGACAGTCAGGACAAAAGAATAATTCATGTATGGAAGGTAAATCTCATCATGCTACTCAGGATGGTGCGCAATTTAAAATATGTGAGTTGTTTATTTTCGGAATTTTCTATTTAATATTTTTGGACTGTGGTTTAGCACATGTAACTGACGTGGTGGAAAGCAAAACTGCAGATGCAGAGAGGACTGCACTCACTGGAAGTCAAGGGTTCACCTGAGGCATGTGGTGGTGTCCCCCTAGGGCCATGGTTCTGTCGGGAGTGAGCGTCAGAATCCCCTGAATGGTTTATTAAAGCACAGATCACTGGGCCTCAACCCAGAGTTTCTAATTTAGTAGGTCTTGGATGGGCAGAAGATGCATTTCTCCCAAGAGATGCTCGGAGTGCTCGCTGGGGACAAAACTTGAGGAACCACTGCTGTAGTTTTAGCCCTAAGCACTTAATTTTTCATGGTATTGTAAATTGAAAAGCATTTCAAGTACTCCAGCAATGGGAAAAATATGAAGTAAATAAATAACTACAATGATAATTTATATTTACATGTCACCTCTGGAACTCAATGGATTTAAAAGAACTCTTGACTTGAATCAGTTCTCAGAACACTTGGTCAGCTGTGTCTACGTCGCACAGTTTTGACTATGCTGACAGGCACGTTCTTTGAAAACACACAGACTCGCACCCTCACCACACGAAGGGGTTTGTCAGACAATTCAAGCAACCCGTCAATTTAGTTCAAGAACTAATCAACTGACGCAAACAGGGTTGAACTTTTCCTTTCTTCCTAATTAGTTTATTTATTAAAGTCAATACATTAAAAAAAAATAAACTTAAGTGTTAGGTCAATTCAATCAAAACAGTCCAGCTGGTTGTACAATTACCGAGACCAATGGTGTTGGTTTGAAGGGTGTATGATGATCGAGGGTGTGTGTGTGTGTGTGTGTGTGTGTGTGTGTGTGTGTATATTTAAAGGACTTTGTTTTTTTAAAGCAGTTTTAGGTTCATAGCAAAATTGAGTGGAAGATACAGAGATTTCCCATATACTCCAAGCCTCACACATATGCATAACCACCGCTGTTATCAACATCCCCCATCAGACGGGTACATTTGTTATAATCGATGGGCCTACATTGACACATTATCACCCAAAGTCCATAGTTCACGTTAGGGTTCACCCTTGGTGTTGTATACTCTATGGGTTTGGACAGATGTATATAATGTATCCATCATTATATCATACAGACTAATTTCAATCTCCTAAAAATCCACTGTGCTCTGCCTATTAATCCCTACCCCTACCCAACCTTCAGAAATCACTGATTTTTTTTTTATTGTCTCCATATTTTGTCTTTTCTGGAATGTCACATAGTTGGAATTATACATTATGTAGCCATTCTGGATTAGCTTCATTCACTTAGTAATGTGCATTTAGTTTTCTCCCATGTGTTTTCATGGCTTGATAGCTCATTTCTTTTTAAGGCTGAATAATATTCCACTGTCTGGATATATCCCAGTTTATTTATCCTTTCACAGGCTGCATGGCACTTTGGTTGCTTCAAGTTTTGGCAATTATGAATAAAGATGCTATAAAGATTTATGAGCAGGATTTTTTGTGGATACACATTTTCAACTCTTTTTTTTTTTTATCCTTACCCGAGGACATTTTTTATTTTTTTTTATATTTTGTTCAGATAGAGTGGGAGGGAGAGAGAGAGAGAGAAACATCGATGTGAAAGGGACACATCGAGTGGCTGCCACCCACACAACCCAACCAGGGCTGGGGACAAACTGCAACCGAGGTACATGCCCTTAGTGGGAACCGAACCCGGGTCTCTCGGGACCGCAGGCCGATGCTCTAAACGCTGAGCCAAACCGGCCAGGGCACATTTTCAACTCTTTTAGGTGAATATAAAGGAACATGATTGCTGGATTATATAGATAAGAGTATGTTTACTTTTGTAAGAAATTACTAAACTGTCTCCCTAAGTGTCTATACCATTTTGCGTTTCCACCAGCAATGAATGTGACACATCCTCACCAGCATTTAATGTTGTTAGTGTTCCAGATTTTGGCCATTCTAATAGGTGTGTAGTGGTATCTCATTGTTATTTTAGTTTGCATCTCTCTGATGACACATGTGGAACATCTTTTCATACAGGTGCATTTGCATCTGTATATCTTCTTTGGTAAGGTGTCTATTAAGGTCTTTGGTTCATTTTTAATCAGGTTGTTGTTTCCTTATTGCTGAATTTTAAGTTATTTTATTTATTTATTTACTTATCCTCACCCGAGGACATTTTCCCATTTTTTTGTTCAGGTAGAGTGGGAGGGAGAGAGAGGAACAGAGAGAGAGAGAGAAACATCGATGTGAAAGGAACACATCGAGTGGCTGCCACCCACACTACCGACCAGGGCCGAGGACAAACTGCAACCGAGGTACATGCCCTTAGCGGGAACTGAACCCAGGTCTCTCTGGACTGCAGCCCTACGCTCTAACCGCTGAGCCAAAGCGGCCAGGGCAGTTATTTTATATTTTAGGTAACAGCCCTTCATCAGATATCTCCTTTACAAATACCTTCTCTTATCTGTGGCTTGTCTTCTATTCTCTTGACACTGTCTTGTGCAAAGCTGAAGTTCCCAATTTTAATGAAGTCCAGCTTATTGCATTTGTGCTTCACACAAGGTTGTTCTGAATGGCTATTTTCAGATTTCAATGAAATGAAGACCAAATAGAGTCATTTTCTCTTAGATTAATCACGTGCTAAAGTTGTTTCCATCGAGGAGGAGGAGGTGCAGCCTTTTGATTGTCTCAGGTTAGGTTGTAGCCATACCACTTATTCATTGAAGAAGCAGATGACTTAGATGATGTTCTGTGCCTCAGTTTCCTCATATATAAAATTATCATGATGATAAGACCCTCCTTATAATGTCTTTAAAAGAATGACTAGAAATAATGCTGGTAAAGTTTTTGAACATAGATGAGTGCTCATTGGGTTGTTCCTGTAACCAGCAGGAGCCCAGGAGGAAATGGTTGTGATGAGGCCTAACCTGACAAGGTGGGAGCCCTTGACAGTGCTCTGTGTTGCGTCGTCTAGGAAAGAGGCATATGGATGTCATACATAATAAATGGATCTATGCACCCAAAATTCTAGAATTTTCTTCTCATCTTTAAAATGGTAACACAAATATACGAAAAACCTGACATGTCACAAATAACCATTCTCTGTTCTGGAACTGAATTTGGCAGGAACCAGAGTTAATGTTGAACAGTTTGCAGACACTCAGGGCAGCTAATTAGCCATCCTTTGCTGGGGCTGGTCTAGCTGATGTTAGGAGCCTGCCCACCTGGTTTATATTTCTCCCTGTAAGATTAATGACTCTACGATACTGCTGATTTCTGGAGTTAATGCAGGGCACACGTGAATCTAGGGAGAACTCAGCTTTTATAAAGAGTTGTATTCACTTGCACTAAGTTTTTATTTTCTCATTGTGACCCAGTTTGAATTAAACCTTTTCCTATAGGGGAATGCTGAGTTTGATGCCCACATAAAAGGCTATCTAGGCTATTCCTGTGAATTATTGTCAAAACTATATAGAAAACAAGAAGAGCGTTTTATTCTTTCTTCCTAAATGGAAAGTTGTGTTTTCTTTTGATTTCAGAAAATCAACTAAAATACAACTGTAGGTAAGATAATTCCACCAGTTAATTTTGAAATCCTGTGCAGGGATTTGAATTATCCTTAAATCAGGAAGCAGTGAATAATTTCTTTATATCTTTTCTATTATATAATGTATTAGCTAAGTGACAAGACTCTTTTTTTTTTTTTTTGCAATCTCTCTCTCACCACCTTCTCTTCCACATATAAACTATATGATTCACCAGCAGGATTAGGAATTAAACCAGTAGTTTGTCAACTTACCTGGTGGAAAAATCTCCTTGGTGGGCCCAAAGTACAACTCAAAAGAAGAAAGGAAGGTGAACAGAGAGAGCAAAAAGAGCTAAGACTAATTAAAAATAGAGTAACTAGTGTTTTCTTATTCTTTGTCTTTATTTCTTTAAATGATAAAGGTATAGGTTAGAGATTACTACTGAAGTTCTTAATCCTTAAACAACTACATTATTTTGAGGAGAAGAATGGCTTATATTTTTAGAGAAAACGGCATTCTGAGACTTTAGCATTTTTTCATATATGCGTTTTTTTGAAGGGCTGGATATTATTTTTTGGTTAATTTTATTTTGAAAGTTTGTGTTACAGCTATGCTACTTTATATCTCAGGCTATTTGGGAATCCCTCTCTCTTTCTCCAGTATATTTTTGAATAATTTTTAGATTTCTCAACCACAATGAGTCAAAAACCAGACTTCTCAGAGACACAAAATTAGAAGAGTATGACTTTAAAACAGTACTTCAAGGAAAATACAAACCAGAACACCAAAATATTACTATTGTACATTTAAACCAAAAATCATGGAGTCATGGAACTTTAGACTTCAAGTTTCAGTCTTCCTATTTCACAGATAAAGAAACTAAGGCCTTGATAGGTAAATGCTGAAAGTCAAATGGATGACCTTGCAGTTTCCATATTTACTTCATTAGATGTGGACACATTAGCTGACTGTCCTGTTTACACTGGGCCTCTGTCCCAGCAGGGCCACCTGGTTTGAATCCCAGCTCTGTTTCATCTCAGTTATCTGCCCTGGGGAAGCTGTCCAGGCCTTGGAGCCTGGGTCTCCATCCTTACAATAACCTTAAGAGACCTGGGAAGGCTTACTCAAGATGGCACATGTGAAACGTTTAGCAGGGAGTAGAAACATGATCAATGTGAGGTCCTTCCTCTGAAACCCCTCTTTGAGGTGGGTGAAGAGCAAATGGCTTCACTACACAGATGGCTTATTTTCCAAGTTGCAACTTCCTCAACTGAAAATAAATTTAATGATGAAGGATGCTGTCCTTTGTTGCAGACTTACTATGGGCTAGGCTTTGGCAAGCACTAGCTTATCTGATCTCATTTAATGCTTACAAAAGAATGTTAGCAAGGGCACCTGGCTGTAGGCAGCAACAGTGAGATTTAAATCCAGGTCCCAGGCCTCTCTCCAAATCCTGACTCTTCTACATTCTATATGTAAATAATAATATGTAGATTATTTATGGATGGTGACATTACTATTATTGCTGTTATTATTATCATCACAACTGCTTTTGTGGAGCTTACTGACTTCTTGGCCTTGGTACCTAGCCTTTTCTACCTGTTACCTGCTTGAAACTTTCTAATTTGGCTGACTGCTCTCCTTTGGAGTTATGAGAACATTAATTTATGTGAGCTCTCTATGGTGGGAGAATTTTGTTCATGGTGGGAAACCATAAGCAAGAGATTAAAAAAATCTGGGACTGAAAGTCCAAAGGAGGTTTTGTGTAGATATCAACAAGGTATGTGTTCATAGAACATCTCTAAAAAGTAGCAGTGCATTTGTAAACTACTGATTTCACACTCCTAATTCTGGCCCTTTGGGAAATCTGTGGCAAATAATTTTATTTTCTGTCTTATAATGAGAACATCCACATGTCCTAGACCTCTATTCTAGGCTAGCCTTATTTTACAATTGAGGAAATTGAGGTACAGAAGACTATATAAGAGGTGCTCTGCTTCTAATCTATGAATGAAGCCTGTTAGTTCACAGTCTTATTTAAAGACAAGATTTCTGTGCAGGTGAGATCAAAGGAACCTCTCTGTGACGGCAGGTCTGTGGAGACCGCACTGTGTATATATGCCAGGTGAATTGACCATGGGGGTAGATTCCCACCAAAGGTGGCTGCCTACAAGTCGTCCCATCCCTGTACATATAAGCTCTTCCTCCCATCAAGAGGTAGGCTCTATTTTCCATCCTTTTGAATCTGGGCTGCCCTTGTAATGTGCGTTGACCAGTAGAGTGTGGCAGAAGTGATACTGCACCGGTTCCGAGCCTAGCCCTTAAAAGGCTGTCAGCTTTTGCTTTTCTTCTCTTGGAATCCAGCTGCCGTGTTGTAAGGAAGCTCTGGCTTAATGAGATGAGCCTATATATAGAGAAGGCACTCCAGTGAAGAGAAGAGAACCAGGCATCTCAGTTAACAGCCAGTACCAAGAGCCCAAATGTGTGAGTGAGGTCAGTTTCAGCTCCAGCTGAACTCCCAGCATAATACAGCCCCGTTGAATGACCCCCTATCCAACACCGCATGGAGCAGAAAAACTGCTCAGTTGGTCCAGACAACCAATGTAGCATGGGTAATAGCAGCTCATTGCTGTGTAAGCAATTATATTTTGGGGTGGTCTGTTATACAGCAATAGATAATAGAACAGTCATCATGACTAGAGAAGCCTAAATTGTGTTTTTGTGTCATGCTGGCTTAGAGCCAGAAGTCCACACCCGGCTTCCCTGTTCTCCTGAAGTCATGGTAGAACCCAGGCCCAGTGTAACCATTAACAAGCCCTGCTGCTGGAGTGATTTCTTTAGATGTTAATGGGAATATCTGAGAGTAAAACACTGGTGGCCCACTTAATTTCAACCATGATCAAAGTGCTGAAAATTCAATTTCCGTTAATGGAGTAAAGTTTCATTTATTTTTAGTTGGATTTTGTTTACTCTGGTTAATGGAGATGCTCAGTCTGCTCTCCCTCAGCTGATATGTGCTCCTGCTATTCTGGCCCAAGTGACAGGTGTTTAGATAAGGGCTCCCCTATGGGCTGGCAGCTGGCATAAATCTCATAGAAAGAAAGATCTAGGCTTGCGGTTATGGCAACCCAGAGAAAATATGAGATTATTTCCTAAAAGTAGCAAGTTCGGGGCCAGTGAATAGTTGATTCATCTGGACCCCAAGGTCTTTGAAACTGTGGGGCAGCCAACGGTAGAGGAAAGAACCAAGGCAGGTGACCCAAGGCTTGACAGCTCACACAAATAGCTCTAGCTCAGATCTCTCATAATATCTGTATCTAACCATTTTTTTTCCTCCATCTGGGAGAGGTCAGACTTTCCCCATTTGTCATCTTTCTGTGAGCTTCAGAGTGTTCAAATGTCTCTGGTTATTTACATACCTGTAGACGCCCTCCACCATGATGAGAATCTTTTTCCAAGCTCTGTGGGTTCGAGGCTGGCCGTAGATTACAGCATCTCTCAGGAGCTTCTCAAGGCTTTGCATGTCTTTAAATAATACCAAAAAAAATGAGTCAGGAGAGGGTTTGATTATTTTTCCTCCCTCATTATCTATTTGGGGAGGTGCCAGATTTTTTAGGCTCAGGCTGAGATCTAAATTTTCAGAGAACACAACTGAAATCGGAAAACATCTAGGGGGATAGAGGGGTACAGTTTTTAATAAAATTGAAGTCTGACAAGGTGAATAGCTGGGTTTGTGTAACAGGCAGAATAAGCCTAGAGAGAAAGAGGCACATGGCTCATAGGCCCTTAAAAGGCACTCCTTTCCTGCCTTAGTAGAGATGGAAATTCTGCATTCGAAGCATCTCTTAGGCATAAACTTTCTTGGCAGGTTGAATGGAACTATGAGAAGTATAATTAACAACACTTGTTTCTAAAATGAGAGCACGTTGGAGGCTAGCAGAGTTTGCATGGGGTGGCAGTTCACCTCCTATGCTCCGGGACTCTACTGGTGACATTATTCAGTTTCAGAGCTGTTAAAACTAAGGTGGTGGGACAACTAGCCTGTCTTTGCAAAATATTTGGAAAGTTCTGGACACATTAATAATAGCTTACAATTACTGAGCCCTATCTGCATTCCTTCTATGCACATTTTTTGTAATTACTCCTCTCAGTGACCCTAAGGAGCAGGTATCTGCATTTTATGGCTTAGAAAACTGATGCACAGAGAGGCCTGGTGAATTGCCTGAGGTCTATGACCATAAACTACAGAGTCAGGATTTGAACCCATGCAACTTTGTACCTGACCCACATTTGTAACCACTACCTTTGCTGTGAGAGCCACTTCTCATTCTCCATAGTAATGTAGAACAAGCAAGGATGAATGTCTGCTAGATTTTTCTTGTTAACTTTTGATGTCAAATATGATTAATAATGACTTTTTATTTACCTGAAATCAGATGTAGAGGACTGGCCTTTGGTTGATAGACCCTTGGGAAAGATTGACCTACCAACCCAACTGTGTGTGTGTGTGTGTGTGTGTGTGTGTGTGTATAAACCTGCAAATCCTAGAGAGAAAGAAAAATAAGGCAGAGAATTATATGTATGTTTTTTACACTTATTATATTCCTCCTATATTTCTTTGCAGTCCCTAAGCTTTTCTTTTTTTAGAATCTGATATGGAAGTACTTTAGACCTAGAATCCAATTTTAATTGGAAAAGACAGGGATACTACCAAACTGCTGACTTGACTGTTATATAGTGGTCACTAGGCATTAGAGATCCCATTTGAAATGCTCACAAAGTGGAACTTAGCAAAGATAAATCTAAAACAGCACAGTCAATATTGGTTTTAGCTACTGCACACAAGCTCTCAAGAGGCAGGTATTCATAGTTTTATCACTGGTCTAGACTCAAGTTAGCTGGGATTCTCGATCTAAGTGGAGATCCCTCAAATTTGTCTTTAGTGCCCAGTCTGTAACTGGATCTGCTTTCGGGTTCCCCCCACAGCTGGGTGAATGCATCGGCAAGTGCATTACTTTTCCACACTGCTACCCTGCCACCCCCAATGAGGCCATGAAGTATTTCTTTGAAATAAAATTGTGGAGGTACTAGAGGCATTTTTAAATTGATCCACTACATTTGAGCTAACCACATTCAGAATGGAATGCAATTTAAAATTTATGAATTGTTTATTTTTAGACTTTTCCATTTACTAGTTCAGATCATGGTTGATCAAGGGTAACTGAACCTGTAGAAGTAAAATCGTGGATGGGGGCGGTGGTGGTATTGTAGGTATCTCAAAGGCCCTTCCTAACTACCCCCTGCCTATCTTCCTGACATAGTCTCTCAGGTTCCCCAACACACAGCTCCCCAACTCTCATTTATGCTTTTTTTCTTTTGTCTATCTGGGGAACTCTCACCCATATTACTTAGGCTCAATTCAAATTCTTCGGGCTGATATAATACAGATTTTCTTTCTTCTTGGTGTCCCTGATGGCTCATCTATTCTTTCTAAAAACACTCATCATGTTTCTCATTATTTAATTTCATGTCTATCCTCCATGGAAGGCAGGGACATTATTTTATTCATTTTTATAGCCCTGGTCCTAGTATACAGTATTAGTGCTAAATCCATGTTTGACAATTGAGTTCGTTGTCTCTTCATGGAATAGAATGTAGACCTGGAAACAGGAGAGAGAATGACCCTTGAAACTAACTATGAATTATTAGAAAAACATCATATCTGCAATAACATTATTTTTAATTAACTGTGTTTTTGCTGCTTTTGCTTTGAAGAGCTGGTCTTCACAGGTGTAGTGTGTTTTATTGGTGTTATATTATTAACCACTAGATGGCAGCCAAGGAAACAAAAAGCAGCTTTCTCATTTTGAGAATTTCAGGGATAATAAACTTTCACCTGTACTGATATCTTGTTTTCATTTTTTGCTTTAGGCAGGGCTCTTAAGATGTTGAAGGAACCCATGTGATCGGGGAACCAGATCTCTTTTCTATAATCTACCACACACTCTCAGTGCCTGAATGGAATAAAGAGATGATGAATACAAATATTCCTATTTAGTGTTTTTTCTTCTGGGATGTGGAATTTTAAAGTTTTGTAGAGAAATGACACATGATGAATGTAGTTCCAATGCCAAAGTAAAGAAACATACCCAAGTGAACAAAGTTAACAGTCATTTAAAATTGAATATTCTAAGATTTTGAAAATCTGTCCATGAAGAGATTATTGTATTGTTTAGGCAATCAAAAAGATCACAGACATATTATAGCTTAGTCCAGGATTACATTTTAAATGGATACCACCAAAAAGAAGAGAAATTTCTCTCCTTTAAAAAAAAAACAAGGAGGACCTGAAAACAAGCCTTTTTATGGCCATGGTGTGATTTATGCATTTTGCAGATGGAAGGCAGAGGAATACCAGGTTCTCCCTTGGCCTGATCATGTTCAATGTGAATGGAGAGTTCCATGGGAAGAGGCTTTTGGTGGAACTTTACAGGACCCCTGGTGTCCCCACCCTGGGATCCTTGAGCAGAGGGAAAATCAATCAGCCTTTTTCCCCTGCTGGGGACAAACTCACTGACCTCTTTGAATCACAGAAACTAGGCAGGGAAAGGGATGACTTCACTCAGCCTGGGATTCTGCACCCTTGTTAGCATCTGGCAGTTTCTCTCTAATTCTTATGGTCTTGCTTTTTTATGCTATAGCGTGTGGGTCACAGGCCCATAGGGTCCAGAGACTGTGGCTCATTTTTGCAGGCCTTTGAGGTTCTACTGTTTTAGCAAGCTACATACTAACATATGCAAGGGACTTTTAGATGCTGATGTTTATTAAAACACTTATACTTGCATTATGGTAATCCTTATGACGGCTCTGAGAAGTAGGGAAGATTTATTAGGTGTTTGTTTTGTCAGATGAGCTAACTAATGCCAGAAGGTTTATAAAACCAACAACTACACCTCCCTTCCCCCCAAAACCAAAACCAACAACAAATCTCAAACCCAAACAAATCACTTCTTTGTTGGGATGTAAAGAAAATTCTGAGATATGGAAATTAAAAGAATAAATTTGACACCATCCAGGCACACATACACAGCGCTATTGTACAATGTGGTTATAAAGTTATAATGACACACTATGGACTTGTAAGCACCACAAACCTGAGTATCAACAATGCTTGAGACATAATTTACCACTAAGTCTGGCTCACCGAGGCTGTTTCTTTTAGTTTGTGAAGGGCTGAGAGCAGCAAGCTGGCATGGTGGGTGATGGACACATGGCTATAAGGAATGAAGGCAGAGAGACCACATTCTGGTGGTCGGTGCAGAGCACGTCCTCACCTGTCACAGGCATGGCTACTGGACTACTGAATTACTAAATGCCCAGAATGATCCAACTCTGTGCCAAAAACCAGAATCAGGCTTAGGTGACAAATGCCCTCTGAGAGCTTGTTCTTGGGTCTGTCCTAAATTCAAAGCCTCTGAGATCTGGGAAAGCTGCAGATAAGATCCTGTGAAAAGAGGGCACAAGGAAACAAGGAAGCCAGACACAGTCTTCAAAGCGGAAAGTTGGGTGTAGTTTGAAGAGTGTCTTGCAAAAGATAAGAACTGGATGTTTGGCTTTGTTCTTATTTTGCTGTCGGTGACACCACTTTCTTCTGCCAAGGCTTACTCCTTCCTCTTCTCTTAAGCAACTGAGCTGTGGTTGAAACATGAGCACTTCCTTCACTGCCCATCTCTCAACACCCTTTTTCTTCTCTGGATCCAAGGCCCATGGTCCTGGTTGTGATGTATGTCAACTTCCACTTTTCATACGCTGCCCAGTGTGGTTGGTGTTTCATCCTTCACCATTCAAGGCTCCACAAACTCTACCCTAGATGCATTTGATACACCCTCATTCTCCATTCCAAAGGCTGAGCGCCAAAAATAAGTTCATGCCTGCTTATAATAAGCACTCAACAGCTATTGCTTAAATAAAAATATGGTTGAATGATGAAGAAATGTTACTTGTTATTTTCTATAATTCCTTGGTCCCATCTTTTCTCTTATTTATTTATTTTTTTCAGAGATACCTAGTTTCATCCTTCAGTTTTGAGCTCAAATGTGAAATATTAAGCAATAAGTACTTAAATAACTGAACAAAGATAAATAAATTATTTTTACTTTTAAGACTGCTCTTTGTTTAGCCTCTGGTGGAAAACATTATCATAATGGCCAGTTTTAGCAAGCAAAGCAAATGTTTTCCTCAAAGTCAAATTATAGAGTTTGTTTTTCATAAGATCATGAGAGTATTTCTGATGCATTAAAAATTTAGTGCTTTAAATTTTGCAGTTTGGGTAAATACTTTGTAGTTTCAGTTCCGGGTTCTGTAAATATGTGGGCAGGTGTTGCATGGCCTTTGGTAGGTTGAAGAAGCAAATGATCTTCTTGGAAGAGTGTGAAAGGCAGCTGAGAGCAGAGGATCTGCACTGGGTTTGAGAGTGAGGCAGGTGCTAGGGCAGGGCCTGTGTACCTTGGAGAGGGGGGTTCATA